CAGATTTGCAAGAACTGTTCTTTAAAAGTTGGACTGTTGCACTGTTGTAGCTTCAGTGTTTCTCAGGTTACAGTTACATAGCAGTGAATATAAACAGACTGATTAATGTGAATATTACTGTAAACTAACCTGTGTAAAAGTTTCTCGAATAAATGTAATTTTTTTGGATGTGGAATGTTAATCATAAAAATGATTTCAGCCATGCATGAAAGTGTAATGCCCTTACAAAAATAATCAAATAAAACATCTACATTTTTCTCGTAACTAAAGATCCAGTCCTCTTTTGAATACTGACCCATATTTAGAATTGTGGGGATCATGCATACACATGGACACATTTCCAAGCTCATCCATTCACAGTTGAAGAGAGATTGAAGTCTGGGCCCAGTGGTAGACAGAAAAACTCTCTCCTGCATAAACATTGTATGCATACTAAAAACAATAACTACACATCACCTCAACGTCCACACATGTTACTTACACCTCTATTGTACATGACGGTACTTAACGGTCAAATCTTTCCTGCAGTATTATCCATCCAATAATCACTTCTCAGATACTGGGCTAAAAAGGCTGTTGTCTTATCTGAGTCTGACATCAGTATTGTAAGAGTTTATGTAAAATTGTTCTCAGATGTTCTCATATGTGTCTTTAATTCTATGAATACATTTTAAAAGACATTTTGTAGAATCAAATACAATTATATTTGATATGTTTTATTTGTGATAATGATGTATTGATTGGTCCTTCAGTCCCAGCACCGTTCATTTTCTTTATCCAATGTGTCAAATCAGGCACTGGCTCAAGAATAAAAAAATGGATTCAATAAAACTGTGATAAAAAAGTCATCATGTTCCCTGACATGTTAAATGATGTTCATTTTCTGTAGAGAAAAGCAAAGCCTCGGGTTGGCTACTTACTGGCTGTATCTGTGTTTGTCTGTATCTGCTTTCCTTCAGCCGTCTGACAATTGGATTTCCTGCCCTTGTATTCAGGAGCGACAACAAAAGCTTTTCAACAACATTTTTCCGTTATGGCTATAACTATTACTTTCCAGATAAACGACTTCCACTGCAATACTCTGATGTAAGAACTGCACAGTCTAGTCCCCACCCTGGCCATGTTATATTCTTGGTTCAGAATACAATTAATTTGCATACTGAAGAACCTGGAAATTATCCCACACAACCGATCTCACTCTTTTGTGGCTCGCTTCATCTATTTCAATTAAAATGTAACATTGAAGATCACAAACTATTTCCTGCTTGATAACCCACAACATCTGACCATGTTCAATTCCCCTTTAGAACAGATGGACATCGGCATGGCTTATTAGTCCAAACTCGTCCAGTCACTCCAGTGTGGACCTTAGGTGCAGTCACATTGACTTCAGTCCATCTCTCATCCATTACAACTAGCAGACTACTTACTATATGTTGTATTGCTTTCACCAACAGTTTATGGTTAATGTTGTGATTTGCATTGCTCTTATCAATATCTATGACATCCATCAAATAGTGACATGTGATTTTTGAGACAAGTGGTTACTGAGTTTGCCAGAAAAAAAAAACAAGCACTACAATAGTAATTTCTTTGAATGCTTAAATCATTTTTGTAAGTAGATAAAGTAAAACTCTCGATTAGTGAGGGCAGAGCTCACTGGGAAGAGAGGACACAGCACTGCAGCCACCACTAGCCATTTCACTCAAACCTGTGTCAATAAAGCATGGTGGAATCAGCAAGCCGGAGAAGGTGTTACTCATCTGGCAGGCGCGATGTGCGTTCCCACACTATGGATGGTTACTTTACCCATGTCCTCTGGCTCTCTTTGCTTTGACCCCTTACTCCTCCCACTGCTCGCTTCAGTTGTGAATACAAAACTCCACCTCAATTCGTCAACACTCGCCTAAAGGGAAGCTAGCACCGACTAAAATCATATTGCTACAAGTCTCAATGGCAAGGGTAAACATAAACATGACCATCCTGCTAGGTTGATACGGTATGAATTGGAATATCTATTCTACTCCAACTCCTCTTTCTATTTATTTTCTCAGGAGAACTTACCACTAATGCTGTTAGGTGGCTTTAGTAAATAACTTATGCCGGTCATGTCAGAATTGACTGTTAGAAAGACACTAGTTGCAAATATTATACCAAGTCAGATGTGACTGATGTGCTCCAGAAAAAGCTAGGAACTGGACCCTGAGTAAATAAACGCTTTGTTGTTGATGAGAGGCATGTTGGATCAATGTGGGTGGTTTACATACTGTTATGTCATATAGCCATAGGTAAGGAGGCTTGTTGCAGTGCAGTCAAACCAAGAGTGGCATTTAATAACCAAAACGCAAATAACATTCTAAACACAACAACATGATGAAACTTCACTTGCAGAAATGTAATTAGCAATCTAATGTGCAGCTTGAATCGCTAACGTTTTTGTCTCTATTGCTTCAGATCAAGCTCGACGCTGACGTCGCAGTACACTGAAAAAACTGAAACATTGACTTTAATTAAATGTATTATGTCAGATTTAACTGTATTAGATTAGTTGAAAGCAATAATATTAGGTTTAAATACAAAATAATAGGTTCAACTTTATATTATTGCAACAATTTAGATCAGCTCTGACACCAAATACCACTCACAGACAAGCAGACTTTGGGTTCCTCTAATATGTGACTTTGTGCTAAATGTGTTTGCTTTACCATAGCTGTGGCATTACATATGAATACTCTAGTGAGTAACTGGGGAGGCTAATGGACGATTAGATGAGAAGACAGCTTTTCTGACGCATGGCAGGAGGCTCACATATCAAAATACTCGCCGTGTGATCACAGCCTCACTCTGCTCCAACTCATGTTGGACTTTCATTGGCTCCCAGGTGGAAGATAAAAGAACCCACATTCCGTCTCTTCACGAGCTGCTCGCCAAACAAATCTTCCTCCTTCTCCTCTTTCAAGCCATGCATGCTTGCATCTGGCATGGAGCGTATTCAAGAGCTAGGAAGTTTGTCTCGTGTGTTTAGACGTTTCCTGAATTAAGTTTGAAGCGAGACACACCAAAGTGCGTGTTCGGTTCTTGAGAATACTAATTTAGCTGCATATTCCTGTCCCTTCATCCTCTATTCCCCCAGTACACACCACCACACCCCCCACATTGCTATCAACACCCTCTCTTCCTCCTTCTCCGGCTCGCTCTGTCGCACAGATTTGACGGAGCTGAAAATACATCTCTGAACTCAGGGAGGCAGCGGGAGACAAGGCTTGTCAGCGGGAGGGTGGGAGGAAGAGGAGGAAGGGGAGGAGGGAGAGGGAGAGGTGGGGTGCAATGTCTTCATCATCTGTCGCTGATGAAGACATTGCGCCCCCCCCTCTTCCCCTCTCCATACCTGTCAGATGACCCGCCCCGCTGCACGCATCACCCGCCCGACACTTCCTCATCCTTCCTGTCACCCTCCCTCCTCACATGGTTTGATTGAAACTGTGGATCAAAATCCTCCCCCTCGTCTTATCTCTTTTCATAATTTCTCTCCATTTGCTTGTTATTCTTCTATTTTCGACCCCCCTTCTTCCCATTCACTTCTTCCTTCTCTCCTCTGATGACACACTCTACTTCCTCTCCTCTTCTCCAAAGCTGGTTCACAAGTGGTCTAAGGCATGTGAATGATGTGTTGATGAAAATGATGAAAGTACTTTTGATTCATTTTCTGTCATTACAGACATAAAAAATACTGCACCAACAACTGAGTAGCAGATAGTTGGTCTTAACAGTGACGATTTTCCCAAACGTAGCAATAGGTAATCAAAATGGTTCCTTTAAAAAGCACCAAGAGTTAATGTCTTTCATCTTTAGGATCTAATGGACAGCGTTCTGTCCAGCTTTGCAGCGCTGCAGCATTCTCTCAATAGAACCTTTTTGTATTGCCTTTCACAAGAAACCAGTTTCAAAGCTGCACTATTCAATTTTCTCTCAATCAATCAAAATGACTGTGTGGTTTCTCTGAGGGGTTTCTTTCAGCTTAAAACCTCAGTTCTGCCCCAAACAGCAGACACATGATGTGAGCAGCTCATCACAGTGGAAGCATTAGCAGCTTCAGAGCCACATGCTCTCCTCAAAGCATCAGAATGAATATTGGACTATTTCTCAGTTGTCCAGAAACATGACACATATATTGCCATTAGATTGCAGGAATATGTATTCATGGACACAGCCTCATCTCAAGGTTTCTATGTTGAGACATTATACTCATTTTGTCACATTTTCAGTCTTTTTATTTGACTTGGTAAAGTTCTGCTAAAACTGAGACCCAGATCCAGTCTGTATCCACATAGTGAAGACCCTTCACACCTGAAACCAACGGGTGCAGAATGTGAGCTGAACTCCAATCCTCCCTTTGGTTTGTGATTTGTGATTTTGGGTTACTTTAACTTGGCTTCATGCACAAACAGCTTGGTAACTATATCTTTGTAACTGAAGAGGATTTTCATTAAACTATTTCCTACATAACACAAATTCAGATCTCTTCTGAGTTGAGTGGAGGCTCATGGCCCACTGTTCTGCTGCTCAGTAAATGTCAGATCACTGTAATTGTTTTGCTCCCTTTCCTCTGATTTCCCTCTTTGGAAGTGTAATGCATTAATATAAGGAACAGCTTTTCTAGCTTGAAGTCTTTATAACAGCCTTATATTTACCGTGAGAGGCGGTGAATCATTCCACTGTGTCAACATTTAGTTTTGGGGATGTAGCGTTACAGCCTTGATCGTATTGTATATGCCTTCTAACAACGACAGAGGTATAATTAGAGGTGTTCAGCGCAATTATGTCCGTCAATAGGGGGACACTGAACAAGGCAGGGACAATGTAAATGAAATCAATAGCTTAAACCTAACGGCTGTTAAACAGTAGCATTTGGATCTGCTCCAGATTGTCTGCCCTCTGTGGTTTGCAGTGAAATAGAGTGTAGGTCCTGTTGTATTGATCTCCTGACTTCTCTCTTATAGAAAAAGAAACTGTCCTGGAGCCCTTTGTGCTGAAAGACCTGCTGCCCTCCGCCCTGGGAAGTTACTACCGCTACACCGGCTCTCTGACCACTCCGCCCTGCAGCAAGGTGGTGGAGTGGATCATCTTCAGCAGACCCATCTACGTCTCCTACAAACAGGTGAGAACCACACCACACAGAAACAGGCGGAGAATATTGCGCGCTGTTTGTGATGATTTACAGTCATTTGGTTTTAAGTGTGGAAACTAAATCATTTTATTCCCTGAAATTATGGTAAATGAACTTCATTCGTATAGTGCTTTAAAAAGCAGCATTCACACTTTCACACACACTGTCACACACTTATGGCAGAGGTGGCCACAAGGTGCCATCGGGAACAATAGGCGCTTCACTTTTCAACTTTGTTCTCATACCATGAACTTTAGTACTGACTAGAATGTCCTTTTGCAATGTTGTGTGTTTGTGAGTGGATTACATTATATTAAAGGTTAAATTGTACCAAAAATGTAAGTACTCTACAAAAAAGGCACAACAAAAAATCTTCTTTAAACATCTCTGAGTTACAAAATTACAGTCATTGAAATCAAACAGTTTTTTATAATATAGAGCTGAAGCACTGTGGTTTTGCTACATGTCAACTGGCTTATCTAAAGCCAGTTGACATGTTTTTGCTCTATGAAGCCTGATGTACTTATATGATTCTGTTTTCTTCAAGTTGTATTTTGTTGGTCGAACGCACTTATTGTAAGTCGCTTTGGATAAAAGCGTCAGCTAAATGCAATGTAATGTAATGTAATGTAATGTTTCGTCAAACTGAGCGCTTGAACAACATGCACCTCATGTAGATCCAAAAACACTTTGTGTGTATTTGACTTAACCATCCATCCATCCATCCATCTTCTCCCGCTTATCCGTGGTCGGGTCGCGGGGGTAGCAGTTCCAGCAGAGAGCCCCAAACTTTCTTTTCCCTGGCGACATCAACCAGCTCTGACTGGGGGATCCCAAGGCGCTCCCAAGCCAGCGAAGAGATATAATCCCTCCACCTGGTCCTAGGTCTACCCCTTGGTCTCTTCCCAGCTGGACGTGCCTGGAACACCTCCCTAGGGAGGCGCCCAGGTGGCATCCTAACTAGGTGCCCGAACCACCTCAACTGGCTCCTTTCGACGCGAAGGAGGAGTTTGACTTAACATACAATTATAAAGTTCCAAGCTGCACCTGCAAACTCCTCAACCATAAGATCCTCTGACGGTGCAGCATGCTCTCCCTCGGGGGGGGGGGGCATGGGGGGGGGCATAGTGCCGGGCAGGGGCTTGTCGACTTCTTGACGAATTAAATTATTATTTTAGTTGATTTGGTTAGTTTGATTCTCCTGCAAATGAGCCTTATTCACAAATCCTACGGTATGGATTTAGCTTGTAATGTTGCATATCTCTCCAGGGAGTTAAATCAAATATTGGGGTTATAGATTGACACTGAACTGATTTCTATCACACATTAGGTGCACTATATTGTTCCAGACGTGCTGACAGGTAGTGTCAGATTAGATTCTTTACAATTTATTTGACCAATGCAAGACTATGCTGACAATTTTAAACAAAATTCTTCTAAAAGCATTATCCTTCCTCTCGGTGCCTCTCTGCAGATGCCTATTGGGATGTTTCTGTTGTTATGCTCCATTGTACTGTAGATAAAAGATGCATTCATTGAAACGGAAGAATGAAGGGCATACATTGATTTACATTTTGGACGGGTGTAAACTCATTTGCATCTATGCTGGCTACTACTGCATCAGTGTATCACAGTCTAAATAGATGTGAAGGGTTCCTGTTTGTTTTCCATGTGATGTTCAGGATTGGTTGGCAGAATGACAGGTCTGTACACAGCGCTGCTGACGGCACGCATTCCTCCTCCTCTTGTTTAAATCCCTGTTGACCAAGCTGTCCATCACTGCCCCTTTTTAATTCAACTGCTTTTACTCTGTCAATATCCAGACACTTTCAAATGGATACAAAGAGGAAAACTATCTGTGTGGTTATATAAAAATGGAAGATGGAAACAAACAGCCTAAAGTTCCTTGAGGTTAGTTTAGCCATTAGTCAGCACTTTCAGTGTGCCATTAGTCAATGACGCAAAGTAAAATGTGCACTTCCTCACAGTTATTACTCTATACGAAGCAAGCTTATATCAGAGACAGCCTCTTATTATGTATGTATGACCTATGTAGCCATTTGTACGTTGGTATTTTGTTAACAAAGATTCCCCCCATCCATCCATCTTCTCCCGCTTATCCGTGGTCGGGTCGCGGGGGTAGCAGTTCCAGCAGAGAGCCCCAAACTTTATTTTCCCTGGCGACATCAACCAGCTCTGACTGGGGGATCCCAAGGCGCTTCCAGGCCAGTGAAGAGATATAATCCCTGCACCTGGTCCTAGGTCTACCCCTTGGTCTCTTCCCAGCTGGACGTGCCTGGAACACCTCCCTAGGGAGGCACCCAGGTGGCATCCTAACTAGGTGCCCGAACCACCTCAACTGGCTCCTTTCGACGCGAAGGAGGAGCGGCTCAACTCCGAGTCCCTCCCAGATGACTGAACTTCTCACCTTATCCCTAAGGGAGACACCAGCCACCCTGCGGATAAAACCCATCTCGGCCGCTTGTATCCGCGATCTCGTTCTTTCGGTCATGACCCATCCTTCATGACCATAGGTGAGGGTAGGAACGAAAAAGGCCCGGTAGACAGAGAGCTTTGCCTTCTGGCTCAGCTCCCTTTTCGTCACAACAGTGTGGTAAAGCGACTGCAGTACCGCACCCGCTGCTCCGATTCTCCGGCCCATCTCACGCTCCATTGTTCTCTCACTCGAGAACAAGACCCCGAGATACTTGAACTCCTTCACTTGGGGTAAGGACTCATTCCCTACTTGGAGTGGACAGTCCATCGGTTTCCTGCTGAGAACCATGGCCTCAGATTTGGAGGTGCTGATCCTCATCCCAGCCGCTTCACACTCAGTTGGGAACCGATCCAGTGAGTGCTGAAGGTCGCAGACCGATGAAGCCATTAGAACCACATCATCTGCAAAAAGCAGTGGTGCAATCCTTAGTCCACCGAACTGCAGACCCCCTCCCCCACGACTACGCCTCGAAATCCAATCCATGTATATTACAAACAGGATTGGTGACAAAGCGCAGCCCTGGCGGACGCCAACCCTCACCGGAAATGGGTCCGACTTACTACCGAGGACCCGGACACAGCTCTCGCTTTGGGAGTACAGAGATTGGATGGCCCTGAGTAGAGACCCCCTCACCCCATACTCCCGCAGCACCTCCCACAGTAACTCCCTGGGAACTCGGTCATACGCCTTCTCCAAGTCTACAAAACACATGTGGACCGGATAAGCGTACTCCCAGGCCCCCTCCAGGATCCTTGCGAGAGTAAAAAGCTGATCCGTCGTTCCACGACCAGGACGGAATCCGCATTATTCCTCCTCAATCTGAGGTTCGACAGTCGGCCTGACCCTCCTTTCGAGTACCTTAGAGCAGTGCTTCTCAAAGTGTGGTCCGCGGACCACTGGTGGTCCGTGAGCGCCCCCTAGTGGTCCGTGAGTATATTGGTAAAATTTCACATTTGAAATAAATACATTTATTTAAGTTTTTCGCACTCTCGCGGGAATATCTCCACAATGGAACAAACTTAAGTTTCACTTTTGATTGCATGATATAGCCCAGATAAGCACCTTCATCACACATGTTGCCACTTGTTTGTACAATTTTCAGGCGATTTGTAAAAAACGATGTGTTTTTGGATATTTGTGGAGTTAGGTGGTCCGCGAGTGTTTTTTTATTGGTTAAGTGGTCCTTGGTATGAAAAAGTTTGAGAAACACTGCCTTAGAGTGAACTTTCCCGGGGAGGCTGAGTAGTGTGATGCCTCTGTAATTGGCACACCCTCTGATCCCCCTTTTTAAAAAGGGGAACCACCACCCCGGTCTGCCAGTCCTTCGGTACTGTTTCCGACTTCCACGCAACGTTGATGAGAAGTGTCAACCATGACAGTCCCTTAATACCCAGAGCCTTCAGCATTTCTGGGCGGATCTCATCCACCCCCGGGGCTTTGCCACTGTGGAGTTGTTTGACGACCTCAGTGACCTCCCCCCGGGAGATTGGTGTTGATCCCCCGTCATACTCCAGCTCTGCCTCTAACATAGAGGGCGGAGTTGTCGGGTTCAGGAGTTCCTCAAAGTGTTCCTTCCAATGCCCTAACACTCCATCAGTTGAGGTCAACAACGTCCCATTCTTACTGTAAACAGCTTGGATGGTTCCCTGCTTCCCCCTCCTGAGGTGTCGGACAGTTTTCCAGAACAACTTTGGTGCTGCCCGAAAGTCCTTTTCCATGTATTCTCCGAACTTTTCCCACACCCGCTGCTTTGCCTCGGCCACGGCTGAGGCTGCTGCCCTTCGGGCCCGTCGGTACCTTTCAACTGCATCGGGAGTCCCCCGGGATAACAAATCCCTGAAGGCCTCCTTCTTCAGTCGGACGGCTTCCCTGACCACCGGTGTCCACCAGGAGGTTCGAGGGTTACCGCCCCTTGAGGCACCTAAGACCTTGAGACCACAGCTCCCCGCCGTGGCTTCGGCAATAGAGGCTTTGAACACCGCCCACTCTGGTTCAATGTCCCTAACCTCCACAGTAATGCCCAAAAAGCTCCGCCGGAGGTGAGTTGAAGGCCTCCTGAACTTGGGCCTCCTCCAGATGTTCCCAGTTCACCCGAACTACACGTTTGGGCTTACCAGGTCTGTCCAGAGGCTTCCCCCGCCAACTCACCACCAGATGGTGATCAGTTGACAACTCCGCCCCTCTCTTTACCCGAGTGTCCAAAACATACGGCCTCAGGTCCGATGATACGATAACGAAATCGATCATGGACCTTCTGCCTAGGGTGCTCTAGTACCATGTACACTTATGAGCATCCTTATGTTCGAACATGGTGTTTGTTATGGCCAATCCATGACTAGCACAGAAGTCCAGGAACAAACCACCACTCCGGTTCAGATCAGGGGGGCCGTTCCTCCAAATCACGCCCCTCCAAGTGTCTCCATCATTGCCCACATGTGCGTTGAAGTCTCCTAGCAAGATTAAAGAGTCCCCTTCAGGAGCCCCATACAGGACT